CTCCTGTCTTATGCAAACCTCCCATTTTAGAATCTAAACAGCTTTGCTATATGTGAATCACTTACAGGATTTTAAGAGCTGCTGCTTGCTGCGTTCAGTTTATGCATGGCTAGAAGTCTTCTGCGGATCACGATAACCCACGAAAGAGAAACAAGGCAGAGATAAAAGTAGCCAAAGACAATGCTGAGTTCAAGGAAGGCAAATGGGCTTAGGAAACAAATCAAAGTCCCTGGGCTAAATATGGATATACATTCATAAATCTTACAAAGAAAGTCTCTCTGAGTCTGTCTCTCTCCTCCCCACCCACCTCCCCCAATTCTAATGCCCGTTCTGACCTATTTCTTCTTATAAGTTTCAGCGACGCAAAATGTGCAGTGATCAGAATCTTTCAAGCTGTGCTCATGTATTGATCTTGGGCCTGATAAAATGTAAATGGTCATAAAGTCTACCTTTTTTGAAGAAGAAAAAAAGACAGAAGAAGAAATCATTGACAAGTCTTTCATGCTAATTTGGGGCAGGAGCAATTTTTCTATAAAGAACCTATTCCTGAGAGACATGCCTTAGCCTGCATCAGATGCCACAAAGCAGCTGGATTTTTCAGATTGATGAAAACCTTCACATATATTATTATTGCACATTCATGCTGAGACTGTCGATTTTGCCTGGGATGACTCTCTAGAGTAATACAGATGAGTGAGTGTTTGAAATAGATGTCATAGAATCACAGAACCATAGAGTTGGAAGGGACCACAAGGATCATCTAGTCCAACCCCCTGCAATGCAGGAACCTTTCACCCAACATGGGACTTGAACCAAAAAAGAAAGAAAGAAGGGAGGAAGGAAGGAAGGAATTGGGTATGTATAAGCTAACAGAAAACTATGCAGTTGCTAAAATGTACCAGACCATTTAGAGCATGCTGTGCAATAATAATAATAACAACAACAACAACAACAACAACAACAACAATAATAATAATTTATATCCCGCCCTCCCCAGCCAAAGCCGGGCTCAGAGCAGCTAACAACAGTAAAAATAGCACAGTTTACATAAAATCACAGTCAATTAATTGAAAGCATTCTAAAATCAGTTCAAAATCAAATTAATGGCAACCATTGGGCTAGAGTTCTATGAAGATTACAGAAGGAGAGAGGGGGTCAGAATGTGCCTTGGCCAAAGGCCTGATGGAAAGTTCTGTCTTGCAGGCCCTGCAGAAAGATGTCAAATCCCGCAGGGCCCTAGTACCTTGTGACAGAGCGTTCCATCAGATCGGGGCAACGGTCAAAAAAGCCCTGGCTCTGGTCAAGGCCAGCCTAACCTCCCTGTGGCCCGGGATCTCCAAAATGTTTTTGTTTGAAGACTGTAAGATCCTCCGTGGGACATACCAAGAGAGGTGGTCCCATAGGTACGAGGGTCCTAGGCCATATAGGGCTTTAAAGGTTAAAACCAGCACCTTAAACCTGATCCTGTACTCCACTGGGAGCCAGTGCAGCTGGTATAGCACTGGGTGAATGTGATCCCGCGGCGAGGACCCTGTAAGGAGTCTTGCTGCGGCATTCTGCACCTGCTGGAGTTTCTGGGTCAGTCTCAAGAGCAGCCACACATAGAGTGAGTTACAATAATCAAGTCTGGAGGTGACCGTCGCATGGATCACAGTGGCTAGGTCAGGGTGAGAGAGGTAAGAAGCCAACTGCTTAGCTTGGCGGAGATGAAAAAAATGCCGCCTTTGTTATAGCTGCAATCTGCACCTCCATAGAAAGGGAAGTGTCGAAGATTACACCCAACTCTTAACGGATGGCGCTGGCACTAATTGCGCCCCCGCAAGAGATGGAAGTTGCCCCCCCAATCCCATATTGTCCCGACCCAGCCAAAGGACCTTTGTCTTCAAATAATTTAAATTCAACTGGCTCCCACGTAACCATCCAGCCACAGCTTCCAAACATCTGATCAGTGTGTCTGGGGCCGAGTCAGGATGGCCGTCCATCAACAGATAGAGTTCATCAGCATACTGATGGCAGCCCAAACCAAAACTCTGGACAAGCTGGGCAAGGGGGCGCAAAGGAAAATTATATGAAAATGATGTATCGGTGGTACTTAACATCTGTAAAATTAGCAAAAATATATAGAACTGCTTCCAATGTTTGCTGGAAATGTAAGGAGAAGAAGGCACATTCTACCATATGTGGTGGACATGCCAGATAACAAAAGTGTCCTGGGAAATGATTTACAATGAGTTCAAAAAAAATGTTTAAAATAACATTTGTGAAAAAACCAGAGGTGTTTTTGTTAGGCATTCTAGGTACAGAGATTTCCATAGGAGCAGAAACGACTATTCATGTACGCAACAACAGCAATGCGGATACTACTGGCCCAGAGGTGGAAAGAAGACAAAGTTCCAACCAGAGATGAATGGCTGATGAAGATGATGGACTATGCCAAAATGGCAAAAATGACTGGGAAAATCAGAAGCCAGGAAGAGAAGAATTTTAAGAAGGAATGGGAAAAATTTGTAATGTATTTAAGAGAACACTGTAAACAACGGAAAACTTTGGCAGGATTTGAGTAATGCTGGTAATGTACGAAAAACCATGGAAAAATGGATTACTACTTTTTTAACAAATTAGAGAAAATAAGATAAGTAGTTGGGGGGAAAAGATTGATAATGATAACCATGGAAGAGCGGAGGGAAGTCAAAGGATTCAGGGAATCCTAAATGAAGAGGTGGATGATTTGTTTGAATTTAAATTTGTTATGTAAAGCTTAATAAAACTATATTTTAAAAAATGTACCAGCACCAACATTCTACAGTGAAGAATAAAATTATTAGTTTAGCACCTGTCCTAACTAAAACACTTTTACATTCTCTCCGGGCCCGTCAAGCCATCACATAAGCAAACAAACAAACACAAATGCTCAAAACTGTTATAGAAAGACAAACCTATAAATTCTAGGGGCATGCTTTTGAGAGATGTTGGGTTTTTCTTAGGTGAAGCAAGATTGGTATGGACAAGTCGAAGCGCAAACCCTGAAACTGTTCATGGCACCCTGCAAACAGGCATCAACGAAAAACAAAACTATGTTTCTAAACTTACCATATAATGAAAGCACCAGGGTATCAGGTAAGAGAGGAGAAGGAGAAGCTTTGCAAACATAGAATTTATTATAGATCCTTCTTTTTCAAAACAACAAAATCACATTTTCTGTCCAGCACAAAAGCCTCTGGGACTGTTCGCCTGTAATTTAGCAGGACTTATCCACTCTGGAAAGTCGAGTAAGTCCACAAATTTCATATACTTCAGTAAAAAAGAGAGAGATTTAGCCCTTTTTTGATTTCCCAATAGTGAAACGGGGAAAGTGAGTGCCCCCCACAACTGTAATGGCTGCTCTTGGGGGGAATCTTTTACAACTATCCTTCTGGAATATTGACAGGGTTCATAACCTGAGAAGGGTCAAGCTTGCCTGCAAATTTCATTCAAATCTGCTCCCCAAAAATTGTAAGAAAATGTTTCCTATAACCATTTGCCTGTAACTTGGAAGGCTTTATCCACACTGCCATAAAGAAAGAAGTTATAGCCATTTTTCATTTCCTAATAGTGAATGGGGTGGATGGGTGGGGATATGGTATAGAAATGAAGTGGACTCAAATAGACTCCAAACTGAATTAGAGACCTCAAACTGAGTTCAAGTGTTTTCTGAAGCACCAAATTAGAGTCAAAACAAAACTTGTGGTCAGTACACACCCTCACTACATAATGAAAGTCTCTCCTTTTTTTGTAATTGATAACCTTGACACAATCTGTCTCCTGGGTAAGACTGCAAACAATTTAGATGAAAAGGTAACCAGATTATCAAATAAGCCATCAAAGGAAACAAGCAAATGTAGAAAAAAAACATTATCATCTTGTTAGACAGAGGAGGAAAATGTCATAAGAAGTGTGAATCCAGAGATAATGAGTCATTAAAAAGTGTAAGATGCAAATACCAATTGTGGTTGTAACATTTTTTGCTCCTACTCCACTGACCTTGGTCTTTGATAGCAAAGCTTTACTGAAGTCATTGCAGCAAAATTAAGTCCATGGATCGAGGTAGCTAAAATGATTATGAATGTTGTCCTCTGAAATTCATTAGCTTTCATCATACATTAACAGCTTTCATCATGAACTTCTCTTTTTCAAGCAGAGCACCTTTACACAATTAAGTTGATAGCACAAAACCATACTTGAACGCATAAGTTAAAAAACCCCCCACCACCCAGTTCCTTAAGCGTATGGAACAAAAAGTCGTACTGTAGAATTCCTAAAGTCTCTTCACAGAATCATAGAACTGTAGAGTTGGAAGGAATCCCAACGATCATCTAGTCCAAACCCCTGTAATACAGGAATCTCAACTAAAGCAACCATTACAGATGGTCATGCAACATATGCTTAACAAATTCCATGGAAAGAGAGTCCACCACCTCCCCAGGGAGCCTGTTCCACTGTTGAACACAGTATGTACCATGATAAAGTTCTTTCTGATGTTTAGCTGAAATCTCCTTTCTTGTTTCTTGAATCCATTCATTTGTTTCCTACCCTCCAGAGTGGGAGAAAACAAGCTTGTTCCATCTTCCATGTGACAGCCCTTCAAATATTTGAAGATGGCTGTCATATCTCCTCTCAGTCTCCTTGTTTCCAGGCTAAACATACCCAGCTCCTTCAAGCACTCCTCATAAGGCTAGCTTTCCAGACCCTTGATCATCTTGGTCACCCTCCTTTGCACACGTTTCAACTTGTCAATATCCTCCTTAAACTGTGGCACCAATAACTGGACACGGTACTCTAGGAGTGGTCTGACCAAGGCAGAATAAAGCAGAACTATGACTTCCCTTGATCGGGACACTGTGCTGTGCTATGATTTCCTGACTAGGTCAAACAGCATTAGAGCAGGTTGAGCGGTGGGAGAGACTGTTGCCACTACTTCTATGAAAGAAGTGCTGCCTTCAGGCAAGTAGCAACTTGAAGAGGGGAGGAGCCATAGCTCAGTGGTAGAGCATCTGCTTTGCATGCAAAAGGTCCTCAGTTAAATTGCCAGTTTTTCCAGAAAGGTCTCGGAAAGACTCTTTTCTGAAAAGAGAAAATATTGTCCAATATTGTATCAACAATATTGGACTAGATGGACCGAGGGCCTGATTCAGTATAAAACAGTTTCCTCTGTTCTTATGACTACTCTAAACTTTGGTAGCATGATTCCTCTATCAGATGCCATACAATTTACAATTTAGACACTATTTCATATTTATTACCAATGAAGCATCTGTGGTGCTGGAGGACTGATTTCTCCCTCCTCGACCCCCCCCTCCCCATCGTCGGCGCCTGAATATTATGAGCTTCACATTTTGATTAAGTGCAAAGTAAAGCTGAGGTATAAATTTGTTTCAGATGGAATAAGATGAGAAATACCTAAAATGTCCAACTTTGAGAGTGATTTACTACAGACCTAATTAGGCCATAGAATCAAGTTGTATTTTATCTGAGCACTCACTTCAAAAGTCTGCTTAAGGTATCAAACACTTTTAATGTCATTGGAGATGTGGTATTAGAAAATTATGTGTAAAGTGGAATTGAAAAATTTAATTTATCTAATGCAAGTTTTACTTTGTATCTCAGCAAGGTAAAAGCAGACTTAATGCAATAGCAGTTAAGTCTACTCTATAAATTTAGTTTTGATGTGACCTTGGTTTCTCTGGGAAAGGAAAAAAAAGTTATATATTTGTTTGGTGAACTCTGGTGTGTTCTCAGCTCAGCACCGGATGTCACCAGCTGAACCATGGGTCAACCTTTCAAAGCTACCCAGTCAGCATATTCAAGTATCTGAAGTATGAAAGCAAGATAGACTTTCTCCCACTTTGGGCCTTTATTTGGTTTCTGTCACGTCAGGGTTTTTTGTTTCGTTTTAACTTGGTTCATTGATGTGTACTAATATAACTGAAGAGTTCCCTCACATAGAAAGAAGCTATAGAAAGTCATGTGAAAACCATTTTCCATCCTGGCAGTGATTACGAACAGTGCTCTTCCCCAACCTTACTTGATCATGAAAACTGTTTCTTATATCCTCCAGATCATTCTTTAGCTAAGGCAGTATCAATTTTCAAATGCTTCCCTGTGGCAATTAACAAGATGCACATTGAACCTAAATATCCTGTCTTGACTATAGCTGCTAGCAAATAAACCCCACTGAACTACCTGGAACTTACTTCTGAGTACATGTTTAGGACAAGACCTGGGATCCTCAATGGGGCACCTCATCCAGATCATAGAATCATAGAATCATAGAATCATAGAATCATAGAATCATAGAATCATAGAGTTGGAAGAGACCACAAGGGCCATCGAGTCCAACCCCCTGCCAAGCAGGAAACACCATCAGAGCACTCCTGACATATGGTTGTCAAGCCTCTGCTTAAAGACCTCCAAAGAAGGAGACTCCACCACACTCCTTGGCAGCAAATTCCACTGTCGAACAGCTCTTACTGTCAGGAAGTTCTTCCTAATGTTTAGGTGGAATCTTCTTTCTTGTAGTTTGGATCCATTGCTCCGTGTCCGCTTCTCTGGAGCAGCAGAAAACAACCTTTCTCCCTCCTCTATGTGTCATCCTTTTATATATTTGAACATGCCCTTACACACCCTCTAGGTGCCTGCGGAGAACACCCACCCATCCTAATTATTATTATTTTTTTATATTGGGAGGTGACTAGGCTGGCAAGGGACATATTTGGCTTTGGGCAAAGGTTTTCAACCTTTTTGAGTCCACAGCTCCCTTGGCCAACTATATTCTTTATGTGGTATCCCTGTGGGGCTCAGGAGCCCAGCTATGTCACCCCTTGCCTGCAGAGCTGTCAGCCTCTCACCCTTTTTCGAACACCCTCCCTTTCAGAGTGTTCCTTCAGCCTCCTCTCCTCTCCCCTCTCCTTGCGAGTCCTCTGGGCAGTTGCTGTTGCTGTCCTTGGTCTCTGAGCTGCCCGCCCCCCCACCCCACTGCTGCCCCATTCCCTTGCAGAACTTATAGCCAGGGCTGCTGCAATAGACAGCTGTGCAAACCTTTCGGAGGCAGACGTGAGAGAGCAGCAGAGGAGGGAGGGAAGGAAAGAGGGACAGAGGCCAGTCTTGCCCACACCTGACCATCATTCAAGGCACCCCAGGGTGCCACAGCACACTGGTTGAAAACCACTGGCTTTGGGAGGGGGGGTGTCTCCTGTTTTGTTTGCTTTTGGATGTGGAGGCATTTCTCTGAGTGTCACCGCCGCATTTCACATTTGTGGTGACAACTGTGTGATTTGAGATTCAAACCTAACCTTGGTTTTGTACTTGGGTTTTGTTGGAAGTCATTTGCCCTTTGCGACAAGGCAGGTAATCACAGCATCCATTTTGTGATTAGGCTCAAGATCACCCTCATGACAACTATTTCATGACATTTTCCAAATGGGCTCCCTGTGCCTAAAATGGTTGGGGACATCTGGACGAGATAATAAGTCAAATACTGCAGAACTCATAAAAAGCAGTTCTGGACAAGTGGACAAATCTGCCAATTTTGGTTTCTCAGTTCCAATTTTTAATTTGCCCCACTTCCATGTGAGCTTGTGTTTTGTTTATTTTTCAAAAGTCCACATGAAAATCCAGACACATTTTAACTTGCATTTATCCTGACAGGCAAAACCACATGCCATTTTGTGTGTATATAATAAGCTCACACTGGCCAGGGTGAAAAGTAGGTCAGAGGGCTCCCTCAATGTATGCCGACACACCCCTTTTCACACACTCCTACTGCTGTTGGAGCATCAAAACAGAGGAGCCAAGATATTTCTTCCACAGTAACAAGTTAGCCTTCAACATCGAATCTTCTCTACCTGCGAAAATGGGGGGATGTTTGGAACTCAATACAGTGGTACTTTGGTTCTCAAACGCCTTGGTACTCAAACACCGAAAACCCAGAAGTAAGTGTTCTGGTTCAATGTGGCTGTCAGCTATTGTTTCTGGGGTGCCTGCACCAATCAGAAGCTGCGCCTTGGTTTTCAAACATTTCAGAAGTCAAACGGACTTCTGGAATGGATTAAGTTTGATGCTTTTGTTTTTGCTATTTATTTTGCATTTTTGTTTTTGAGGCTTTTTCAGTTAATTTGTTTTTGTGACCCAGTTCAGCTGCTGATTGATTGTGCGAATGCGGAAATGGATAAAAGCCCCCCATCCAAACAATGACTATCATCACTGCAGGAACGAATTTTTTAATTTTTATCATCTACAATACTGTCTTATTTATTTTATCATATAGTACATTGATTATTGGTTTCATTTTATGGATCACTAGTCTCATTAGATAGTAAAATTCATGTTAAATTGCTGTTTTAGGGGTTGCTTTTAAAAGTCTGGAACGGATTAATCCGTTTTGCATTACTTTCTATGGGAAAGCGCGCCTTGGTTTTGGAACCCTTTGGCTTTGGAATGGACTTCCAGAACGGATTAAGTTTGAGAACCAAGGTACCACTGCAGTCCTTTGGCCACCCTTCCCCAAGGGGTTTGCATTTAAATGTGTTATAAATGTGGTGGAAGCTATTTTAATTGTAATGTTTGTGTGTGTGGTTTTACTTATTGTTTTAACCTCTGATGCCTTAATGCTTTTTAAATAGGTTTTAAAAACATTTTGTTGTTTTAGTTGGCTGCTCTTGGCTGCATTTGAAGCCTCTTTGAAGCCTTTATTTTAAATAAATCAATGTATTTCAATAATAATAATAGTCTACTGATTGATTGCTAATAAAAAGATGACAGCTTATCACAATCAACACACCTTTTCCATAAACAAGATGCAAAAGATTTTTTTAAACAAACTTACCTTTTTCCGTTATTGCAAAGCTAGTAAGTACTAACATCAAATATTTAAAAATTGTGCTGCTTGGAAGGGGGTCTGGTATTCAGATTGAAATAAATTCTATCAAACTGTCCAGATGAAACAAAAACAAGGCTCTAAACACTATCCTTCCAAAGTGGGTATTTCAGACCAAAACTGAATATTGGATGAGTTTCTAGCATTCCAGATCAGTCTCTTAGCAGCTGCAGTGACACCATAATTGTTGTCCATATGATCATTCCCACTGGGCAAACCTCATTTAAGGTTGTCATTACGAACGGTGCCTAAAATGAATTCTTTGCTCTCAGCTTTGTCTGTAAACACCTGCTTTAATGAACTGGTTCATTGCTGTGCTATGAAAGTGTCATTGCTGATACATTAAGAGCTGCCATTTATGACCACGTAAAGTCAAACTAACTATGTATTACTACTGCCCCTGACTTCAACTCTATAAATGTTGTTTACAGTGTTATTTATCCCATCCAGCACACAAACTGCAGCAGTAAGCTCTCCCATTGATTGAGAGAATGCAGACACATTTTGATCGATGGACTTGGTGCCCTCTTTTAATTGCCCACTGGCACCAGCGTGCTGGCATTTATCATCTCTTTAAACGCTCGTCCAAACAAACTACTGGAAACACTGGAATGAGCTAACATTGCCAGACTTTATTGAAACCTGGACTTCTTGGGCAGGGGGAAGAAGATGTGAAGTTGATGGGGCACAGATGAGCCAGTAGTGCCATGATTTAATTCCTCCTTCACTCACCAACCCAGGGGGAAACGATCATCAAATTATACTGCACGTTATATGCAGAAATCTATTCTGAGTCTCAGGCTGCAGGGATGTTACATCATTAGGAGCTGTAACAATATCCTCTCGACGCCATCGATTAACAAGCAGGCTTAGATGGGCGATGTATCAATCGATCTCAGGGGCCTATAATTAAAATGGGACAAAATGGCCCAAATGTTTCTGTGTAGTCCCCAAACCTGAGCTCTTAAACGTGCTTAGAACCCAAGCTGCAGGTAGGAACAGCACAAATGAAAATATCAAACGCTTCAAGGTGACTTAAAAACAACACCATGGTTTCTTTTTGTCCCTTATAACTCCTTATCCGCTGCTCCATCCTGTCATTGCCAATGTCTCTGTACTCTCCATCCTTTATCTGAAAGCCCCCCTCTCTTTATAGCTGATAAAT